CCCCCGGGGGGGGGGGGGGGGGGGGGGGGGAAGGCTCCACCAAACAATCATCTTAGTGCTTGCCAGTAGTCCAAGTGCACAATTGTTTTGCACCATTTTTAGTCAATGCTAACTGATATGAAATGAAGCTTCTTGAAAATGTTTTTAACCAAATAAAAATGTAAGATGCTGTAGAGAAACAAAAAGTTATCTGTTAGTTAGCACTGTTATCTGTTCACTAGGATTTTGGTATTTATATTTGCAAAATTAAGATAGATTTAGTTCCTAGTTTTATGCTTAGTTTAGATTAGATTTGTTTTCTTGTAATTATCCTGAATGGTTGAGATAATTGTGGCTTAATTTCAGGCATTCTTAGGCTATTTATTCATCTATAAATTCTGTGGTATTTTGTGTGAAAGAATAATAAAAAAGAAGTTATTTCTTTTCCAGAACTTTCATGATATCAGAGCTCTTTCGGAGCACATAGAAACCCCAGCGTATCAAGAGATTCTGCTAATTGTGCCCATCCTTCGTCGTCCGGCATTGGAGCAGACAATTCAACCACAACAATCAATAACTCCCTTCAGTTAACAGCCCACAAATTAAATGGTAGGAATTAACTGGAATGGGCACAGACCGTGAAGCTTTTTATTGACGGGAAAGGTAAACTTGGTCACTTGACTGGTGAGGTAAGAAAACCAGCAGATGATCCCAATCTTAAGGCATGGGGATCTGAAAACTCCATGATTACTGCATGGCACATACACTCAATGAATCCTTCTATAGGGAAACCCTTGTTTATTCCTACAGTCAAGGAGGTTTGGGAAGCTGTCCAGGATACCTATTTTGACTTGGAAAATTCTTCTCAAATTTTCGACCACAAAACCCACCTCTAGCAGGTAAAGCAGGGGAATAGAGAGGTGATTGCATACTATAATGAGAAGGTGACACTATGGCAGGAGTTAGACCAATGTTATGAAGTGTGTTAAAATCCTAAGGATAGTGCACACCACTTGAAACGAGAGGAAGATGAACAGGTGTACACGTTCCTAACTGGCTTGAATTGAGAGCTGGATGATATGAGCCATGAGGGGGAGAATTCTTAGCATAAAGCCATTGAAAAATATATGGGATGTTTTCTTAGAAGTTCAAAGAGGAGAGACCTGTTGAAGAGTTATGATGATGAAGCCAGAGAATGTGTCTGGCAATGAAAATTCAGCACTCGTGTCTAGGGATCTCAATTTTAATGGAGACAGGAGAGAGCCAAGGAAAGGAGAGAAACCTCGGTGTGATCACTGCAAGAGAACAGGGCATACACGTGAAAACTGTTGGAATCTGAATGGAAAGCCACCAAATTGGAAAAGAAAAGGAGATGGTCGTGCATTTCAAGTCTCAAGCGGCGATCAAGGTTCTCAATTTTCTGCAGGAAATCTGCACTTCACAAAGGAACAATTAGAAAATCTATGCAAACTTCTTCAATCCTCAAATATATCAGTAAATTTTTCTCCTTTATGTTCATTAGCCAAAAAAGGTAATTATTTGTCCACCGACCTTTTTAGTGTTAATCCAAAATTTAGCCTTAGTCAACATACCACGACAGGATTTTCACAATTGTTTGTACAATTGTGCTACCTGCACAGGGTCTGTGCAACAGACCCTGTGCCGGAGGCATTTTCCTTGTTTGTATCATATAATTCATGCGCAGGCAACCAGAAAATAAAAATTGCTGATGGATCTCTTATAGCAAAAGTTGGAAAAGGTTCAGTAGCAATTTCACCATCTATCACGCTTAAAGATATCCTTTATGTCCCTAATTTGTCTTATAATCTCTTATCTATCAGTAAATTAACTCGTGGCCTACAGTGTCAAGCTCAGTTTTTCCCTTCTCATTGTGAATTTTAGGAATTGGCCTTCAGGAAGACGATTGCCAATGCTAAACAAAGTGGTAGACTCTACTTTGAAGATGGGTCGACCTTGAAAAGACAAGCTAAAGGCATTTGTTTTAACTCTATTTCTGTTCCAGTGAAAATAAAATAATGTAATAGCATTTAAAAATAGGTCATATGGGTTTTCAATATTTGAAAATTTTGTTTCCAAACCTGTTTATCAATAAAGATTCATCTTCATTTCATTGTCAAATTTGTCAACTAACTAAACATCATCGTTCTTATTTTCCCGTAAGACCATATAAACTATCTAAACAATTTGCCATGATTCATAATAATCCGTATCAGTATAGACTCCAGGGAAAGGATTATTCTTCAAGAAACATGAGCAGAGAGGAGTAGGAGTCTAATCTGATAAGGATTAGGCTGGATTTACTATAGATAGACACTCTACCTCAGGGTACCGCACATATATTTAGGGCAATCTTGTTACTTGAGGAGTAAGAAGCAAAGTCAGTTGCAAGGAGCAGTGTAGAAACAAGTTTTAAACTTTGTCACACAGGATTTGTGAAACGTATGCTTGAGGAGTTACAAAGACATCCTACATTGCCAATAAAACTCTATTGCAACAAAAAAGTTGCAATTAGTATTGCACACAATCCAATGCATTATCACAAGACAAAACATGTGGAAATTGATAGACTTTTCATAAAGGAGAAGCTTGAAGCAAGTGTTATTTGCTTGCCATTTGTTCCAACTTCAGAAGAGACAGCTAACATCCCAACAAAGGACTCCAAAGATCACACTTTGAATTCCACATAAGCAAGTTACCCACAAGCTTGGCTCGTCATGAGCTCAAGGTCGTTCAAGCACGAGCCAAGCTAGGAAGACCTCAACTCAACCCACGGGCTCATGAGCTCACGAGCCGAGCCCACAAGCTCTAGTGAAATTTAGGCTCGTGGGCTCGACGAGCCAAGCCAACGAACTACTCAACCTTTTTGCCACCCCTATAGATATCTATGCTCCAATTTGAGAGGGAGAATAGAGAAACAAAAAAGGTTATCAATTAGTTAGGATTGTTATTTGTTAATTAGGATTTGGTATTTAAATTTGCAGATTAATATAGATTAATTTAGTTCCTAGTTTTATGCTTAGTTTAGATTAGATTGGTTTTCTTGTAATTAACTCGAATGGTTGAGATAATTGTGTTTGAATCTTAGGTATACCTAGGCTATTTATTCATCTGTAAATTATGTGGTATTTTGTGTGAAAGAATAATAAAAAATGAGTTGTTTCTTCTTCTCCAGAACTTTCAGATGATTTAAAAGTAAGATGCAGACAAAAAATTCATTAATACATGACCCCATGTAATTTTGTTAGACTATGCATCGGAAATGTCAACAATATGTTTACATTTCACTTAATTTGATAAAGCTTCAGAAAGGGAACTTTTCAAGAGACCCAAATACACCACCTTACACATACTAACTTCAATCCCATTCACTACATACCAATGATGAAAAATGAACCTGCAGAACATCTGACAAAGATCAAATCCATTACTTCCCAACAGATAGAAGAAACAAGGACAAACCTCTATTCGCCACAGGAATTCGACCTTCAGAAGGTTGTCTGTAAGGAATAAATTGCCTGTGATTCATAGGCTGGGGTGGCCAGGCCCACCAATTGTCAGGTAATGGTGGCTCACAAGGCGGACCGGTGTAAGAGACAGGTGCATGGGGCATCCTGCCGCCATCAGGATAGCATGGGCCTAGAAGATATCAAAAGATTCTGATTAACAAAATCGAAGCATATAATAATGCCAAGAAGCAAAAGCTGATCCAAGAATAGAGAGGGAAAAAAAAAAAAAAAAAAAAAAGGTTATTCACCAGATACGGAAGGCAATGGAGGCTTCCAGCACTCTCCAATATTATCGCGAGGAGCAAACTTCATTCTATCATGATCTCTGTAAAAATTTCCATTTCCAGAATTCTGCACATCGAATCTGTTATGATAGGAAGGGACTGGAACATCCCTCCGGGACTGCATTCGCTGATCTTGGACATATGAGAACTGATTTGTAGGAGAAGGGTGAGGTGGACGCAAATGAAAACCCTTGTTGAAAGCACCATCAGCTGGCAACATGGTATTACAAGCTTGCGCGAATGGATGGGAGCCAGTCTGACTGCTGAAAGAACATGAATTAGGGAAGTCAGACGTCCTTGGCATCTGCGCTTCGAAATTTCTATTGTCGTGAGCATGATGATGCACAGCATCAGAGGTTGTCAGGTTATTATTTGGCAGGATAGACTGCTTTGTAAGAGGTTCCTGGATATGGCTCTTAATCTTCTGCATACATCCAGATCAAATTAGAATAAATAAATTATCCTATAAAGGAATATAAAATTTAGAACCAGAAAAGACCTGCGCACTAGGATAAAGCTTCCAATTAGAACCATGAGAAACAGAATCAGGCATCGCAAGAGGTAAAACTGGAGGGTGGGGAGACCTGGGCAGAGCAGGAGATGGTGATATGTCCTTAGGGGGTGGAGGAGCAAATGGAGCCCCAAAAGAACTATCAGATTGATGATTCGACACCTGTTCATCACCCGCTCCAGAAATATTGCTAACGGAATTAATTTCGATTTCGCAAGCGGGAGCCACATCCTCCATTTCAAGCTCCCCGTCAACATCTTCTAGGACATGTCTATGCTTCTCAACTGTAGGAACTGGATTCCTTTCTTCATCAACATTTTCAGCATCATGCTCAGGAGTGACAGCCTCAAAATTCTCTCCATCAGAATCACTTCCTCCATCTTCATCTCTTAGCATTGGGGGCATACAAAAACCAGGTAGTTGAAAACTTGAATTGCTGTACGTCAACACAAAATTCATTATCGATGTTCCAGAAATAACATACCATATCTAAAGTGGAAAGTGCTCCTTCAAATTGTAGGGACGTGTTATATGCTAGAGAAAAGAAGCACTAAAAATTACCTTCCATATTCATCAACAGGCATACCCTCCATTTGTCTAATAGGATCATCAAAAGCCCTTTCATTTCTTAAAGGTCGGCGAGAGGACGCCCCAGTAAGATATGAACTACAAATGGCATCCAGTTCACGGATATGGTGGCGGATTATGGGTTCTGGAAGAATCTTTCTCTCATGCCACACGTTCAAGACCTATCCAGCAAACAACAGAAAGAAAGTAATGACCTCTGTGCATCCGTGAAACAGATTATTACAAAAAGTTCAAAATATTGTTTCACTAAATTTAAAGTTCCGACAAAACATGTGGTGTTAAGTAAAGAATATACTTGCAATTTGAAATTCTGGTAATAAAATGTCTAGTTTATATACGAGTTTTCTTAAATTTTGTGCATTAATGTAATAAACAGTTTAAGAAAAGAGAAAACATTAGATCTCAAATATCTTTAGTTTGAGAAAAGCTAGTCATTTGTGGTCGACGATCACTGGGACAGCAATCCTGCAATATGAATATGCAGCACACTCGTCTTTGTGTGACTAGTGAAGGTCAAATAATAAATCAGAAATATTTTATTGCTTACCTTCAAACACTGCCTATGATTTTCATGAGAACTACCAGGAGGAGCAGCAGCCAACACTAGGCGTGGCAATAGTGGTTGGATTGCTGAGGGATATATGCCACCATCACCTGAAAATTCCAATGCATTTTTAGTATAATTAATCCCACATCAAATACAAGGTCAAAAGTATTTCACAGCTGAGGTATAAATCCATCATAACAAGCAAAACTACCAGAATACAATCATATTTGTATTACCTTTCATGCCTCGAGAGCATTGCGTGATAGAATCAATGAGGAAAAACAAGTCCACTCTTCTGGACAAACTTGACTCATTTTCCAAATTTCGGGCAAGAATTTCCACCACCTAAGAAAGGTTTGTTTTCAGCAATAATATTGGCACATACAACAAATGATACTCTTGATTGCAACAGGGATGCAATTAATTCAAGAAAAATTACTTGACATAGAAAAATAAATTTGTGCAGCACTAAAACAAAAAACGGTCCATTCATTTAGATACTAACTAGTCCAAAGAAAATTACTTAGCCCATATTTGGCTAATGTTTATAAGGTGTTTATAATCGGTCAAGCCACTTTTATCGACACATTTCGTGGACCCACAACTACTACTAACTTATCCACCACTCATTTCTATCTATTCATAATTTAAACTATTTATTAACGCTTCCCCAACATGTCAGCATTTATTGAGATGTTATACCATCTTGAGTTGGGGTATGTTCAGTCCATGCCCATTTCTCGACTAATTAGTAATGCAACCTAAAGTGCCAACTAGAGCTAGGAGAATAAATCTTAAAGAAATATGTGAGTCTGACACTCTTTTTTATAATTTTTTTAGACAAATGATTATTTAAACTGATACTCGTAATCATTTTACGGTACAAATACTTCACTACATGGATTTATCTAACAAAATGATATGATAACATAAATGTTGGTATATTTTCTTTCTTGTTCTCCATGAGAGCAAGCAGGAAGGTCAACTACACAGGCTACATTTTCCTAGGGAAAATACAGGCTAAAAATGCCGAGTGTACAGGTGGATGCAGACAAGATAATGGGTTGCACCTAAGAGAATTTATTCCCAGCTAGCTTTATAGTTGCTGGCTATCTAAACACCAGAATAGAAAGATTTAGCCCCCGTTTGGCCCCCATTAAATTACATTTCATTTTTCTCTCTCCTATTTTCAATCCCACAATCTTCCATAAAATAATATTAAACGTAAATCGAAAAATTTTCCATTTTTTTCAACCACTCATTTTTCAAAAAAAACACTATTCCACCCATTTTCATTTTCAAAAAATAGGGGCCGAACGGTGGCTTTATATTTATTCATTGGTTACTATATAAATCCAAAAGCCAAACTACAGAACATCAGGGTGGTATGGGAAAAAGGCTTTTGACATTCAAATGAGACACAGGATTCATCAATATATAAAACCAATGTTTTAAAAACCGATCCGAACATTGACTTGGAAAAGATAAAGGTTCGAAAGTCAAAAGGTTCAACCGAGGTCGAAACGGATGCAATAAATAAATACACTCACAAATAAGAAAATACTGTAACTAATTTTTTAATTCACGTACGACTGATTCAAAGTAAATACAAAATCATTATGGTTAATTAGTTTTTTTATTATATAATTAGTCCCGACATTTCAAAAATTAACAATTAATATATCAAAATAATTTGCTTCGTTAAAATTGAAATCTTCAGAGTTTATAGAAAATGATTTTTAATATTATTATGTTAATAATGTAGTGAATTTAAATTAAATTTAATAAATAAAAATATAGAGGTAAAGGCTACAATTTACTTTATTGGAACCAAAATCAAATGAAATTGAAAGTCAACACAAAGCCAGCGGGCATTCAAGATTGTTTAGTATCCCATATCGGAAATTTGTAGTGTTATTGTAAAGAAGTGCATCCATAAAATAAACCAACAGGCAGTCAAATTTTGCTAATGGGCTTTGGCTTAAATCCATGAGCCCAATAATTAAGTTTAAAAAGTTTATTTAAAATTTGTAGAACTGGCTCCGGTTCACTGGTTACCCATTAATACCAACAGGTTTGGCAGCTTTTTTTGCCGGTTTTGTCATTTCCTGTTAATAACGCATGACTGGCCCGGCCTTCGGTCCGGTTCCTAGTTGAGCCAGACAGGCCAGGCCGGTTTTAATAACCTTGTTTAAAACCAAGGGAGAATTATACCTTTGTGGCAGAACCAAATTTTGCACAATCAATTGCCATGCGTGTTGCTCGACCTATGCTTTCTTTTGTCCTTGTCAATGATCCAAGAATGGTTTCAAAGGATGATAGAGCATTATTAGCTTCTCCTTTGATGCTTGACTTGCCAGCGAGCTTAGCTTTGCCAAGAAGCAATAAAACATCAGGACTGCGACTATTACTTTCAAGAAAATTATTCTTTTCCGATGTAGACGTTTTGCATATGGACGAACTGGGTGGAGATGCCCGTCCATCAGAATCCAGCCCATCAGTGGGAGATGAAGATGTCTGAGTGAATGAGAGAGTTTTGTCGCCCATATGATCATCAAAAGAATGAGATAATTCTTGATTACGACTATCGGTCATAACCTTCATAGAAGTAGCAGAGGGATCCTTTGATATTGATTCATCTTCTTTGGCAAACTCAGGCCTGCAATTGTAGAACATAGACAAAGTTAGACAGCAAGGTAAAGAATATTAGAAGAGAAGAATGTGTAAGAAACATTAGCCTCATATTTATAGCTTACATTCGATTCTCTTGATTTGTTTCGGCTAATAAATGGTTGTGCATCTCAGGAGTTTTATCACCTTTACTACACCCTTTGTCCAGATACATATTAGTGTCATTTTGTGGTGAACCTAGAGAAATTTCTTCCTCCAAGGTAATATCAGCATGAGATCCCTTGAAAGGTTTGGCCAACTCAGAACACTCAGTTTCGCGGTGATCAGTAGAACTAGTGCAATCTAAATGAACATGTTTTTTACCAGAAATAGGTGAATCTGGTTTTAGATTAGGTTCCACAATATTGAATTTTGAAGGCTGGTCATGTGAGGAATCTTTAAGATGTCTACAATCCGCACCTTCCATCGTCCCTGCTCCAGATTGGATCTCACCTCCACTCACTATTGACAGCTCATGGCAGTCCCCAGGCGAACTACAACAATATCCATTAGTCGACATATTCACCGTTGAGAGACCAGCTGTAACTGTTAGACTATCTTCAGCTGCATTAGCTGACATGGCCTCCAAGGCACGCTGTAGGCGTTTAGACGGAGGTAAGGCAGCTTCACCATCGACGAAATTATTTCTGGATTCCCAACTCTGAGGCTTCCTAGAAAGACTTGTATCAAATGCAGAGAGATTATCTGAACCACCTTCAACATAAACAGGCTTACAATCGAAAGAACCATCTTCCTTGGAATTTAAGGGACCAGAGGGCTGCATTCCAAGGCTTTTAGAAACATCCAACGAGTTTTCCTCCATACACACTGACGAACCTAGCTCATCCTCAGAAGGTGATGGTCTGCCCATGCGAACCCTGGCTCTTTTCACTAGTGGTAAGTGCTCATCACTATCTTCTTTAGTACATTTTTCAGCTGATTTCCCATCATTACTAGGTAAAACATGTTCAACTTTCAGCACCTCAGTCTCAGAAATTACTCTATCTAATCTAGCTACCAAGTTAGCTGTACCATTGCTGTGTCTTTTCCGATTTGGCTTCCGCTTCTTTTTAATGATGACAGTATTAGTCTGAAAGTCAAGCCTATCACTTAATTCAATTTCCCCGTCACAGTTTTCAACAACAGACTCAGGTTGCTTTGGTTTACAACTGGAGTCTAAAGTGCTGCTGTCATCACAGCTAAGATTATCAGAGACTGTCACAGAATCAGAATCATTTTCACCATCACTATCGTTTGATACAAAAGCAGGTGAGTCCATTTGATGTCCATCAGTATCATCAGGCACCTTCATAATCCTTTTACTTCTTCTCAGAGATGAATCCCACAATGCATTAGTAACAACACGCCGAGAACTCCTAGTATTATTGCTAGAAGGCAACGTCATGTCTTGGGGGCCAATCCTTGATGAACCTATAGACCTTCGTGCAGACGTCCTTCGCTCTGAGACACCTTTTTCTGGTCGGCTGAGTTCAGCTTTGCTCCTTGTAGAGTAAGCAGTCAACAAAAGCTTCTCCATACCTGTACAATTAGCATCAGAATCTTCTAGTAGCATGTCCTCATCATGCAGACCATCTGCTGCTGCAGCTACAGCAGCTTCAGTTAGGAAGTTCAGATCATGTGTTTCTCCAGAAGAAACGGGTGTCCTTAGATGTGATTTAAGTGTAACTGCGGCAGTTTCTTCCTTTGGCCCCATTTTGGTCGAGAACTCGGCAGAACTATTTTCTTTCATCGAGTTGGTTTCATTGGTACAGTTAGTACTGATATCTTGGCTTTGTTTCTTCAGTTTATCAAAGCAATCAATGATCTCATTCAGTGCACGAACAAAATCAGCACCTTTACCATGACGTCTTAACAAAAGAGACTCTTTCTTTTCTTCTGTAAATTCTTCAACTTCTACAGGATTGCAGAAGCCACTGTACAAAAGGCTAAATTGTTATTGAAAAAAGGAGGACCGAAAAACGTGTAAACCTGTATACTAAGTGCATGGAGAGAGAATGTGATCTTCTGCACTGTTCAGTTAAGCAGCAAGTTATGGCTCCGTCTGTGCCCCATTAATTTGAAAAAAAATGTATTATAGAGCTCATCCTCCCTCTAAATGATAAACATGAAAGAGCACATCAAAAGGTAATTTATTGGCCAAGCCAAAAAAAACTAGGTGATAAAGAATAAAAAACCAGTAAGACTACATTCTTCACCCGTTGGGAAATCCAGGAAGAAAAACCACAATGATGCTATGAACAGGTTCCAGTCAAACTATTTAATACAAGGACAAAGAGTACGGTTCTATGTTTTAATAGGAATTCAGCTTCCACTCCAACCAAGCCTGAGCTTGCAGAAATCACAAAATGAAGTATACAAGGTATATATTTATATAAATTTATCGACGTCATCAAATTTTTGTTGTATTGTTTATCCATTAGGTCTTAAAATTTGAAAGAGAGAGAAAGAGCACTCCTAGGGAAAGAATTAAGAAAAATATAGTGATTAAACATTAATCTTTTAAAGAAAACAATTTTGTGTGTTTTGAAAGGTATTAAACTAACAACCAACCAAAATATAGAAATTTAGGGGTTCCTTGACAAAGTTTTTGATAAAAGTTTTAACAGCTTTTGATAAAAGTTTATGAAATATATGATTGAAAAGTATATATAAGTTGTGGTTCCCATGAATGTGGGTTAAAATTAATAGTTGAACTTTGACTTCGACTTTTTAAGCTTCCCAAACATGTGCTTAATTACAAATTAATATACTTTTTCAATGAATTCTTAAAAGAATTTTAGCCCTTGTTTGGTCTATATTATTTTCAAAATACAGTTTTCACTCTCTTATTTTCAACCACACATTCTTCAATAAAATAATATTACAAGCAAACCCAAAACTTTTCATTGGTTTTTAACTACACATTCTCCGTCAAACTACTATTCCAAAATGCATTTTGGGGGGAATGGGGCTCAAACAAGCTCTTACTGACAAAATGATTTTATTTTTCATAGAAAAAGAGGGGAACGATGAATAAGAGAAGAGAGAACATAAACGACAAAATAGAAAAGAGTGTAAAAATAATAGACTGGAAAAAGAGAAATATTAGCCAATACTAGACAAATTTATAAATAGTTCATAAAGAGGAATAGTAAGAGAAATAGTAGTAGGCCTGACAAAATAAGTCGATGATATTGAAAGAAGTTATGTATGTGTGAATGAAATTAACGTTTGGTTTTGACTGAATTTATAAGCCATTGGAAAACATATAAAAATGAAGGCTTAGTCTATAATGCTCGAATTCGAGTATGGATATTGAGTACATACAGTGTCCGATTTTTTATTTTTTAAAATGAAGGTTACGTGAATATGGATAAAAAGAGTCCAAATTTTGGACATGGATACGTGGGTACATCTTTGAAATTTGAAATTTTTTTCCAAAAAATTCGTGTGTAAAATGTTAAATAATAATTGGTTGCAAATTGTTAAAAGATAAACATGTCACTCAAAAATCAACTAGAAATTTATAATCAAAAATATTATTTGATTACTTCTATTTTGTCAAGCATTGAAAATATATTTAATAAGAATATAGTATAAGATCTACTATTGTTGTAGATACATGAAAAGTTAATTGAGTTTCAGATAGATGATGAATCGATTAGTAACCAGTCTTTTCGTTTGATTAATCAACTATTATTTGATTACTTCTATTTTGTCAAGTTTTGAAAAAACATATTAATTTCAGAAAATGCTATTAAATTGTTCAAAAATATTTATTTATGTTGATTTTATAATTAATTTTCAATCATTTTGGCCAAAGAAAAATCACATTTTAATTTAATTTTGTAACAACATTTACCATGATTTTTTTTTTTTATTAAAATGATCTTATCTAGATCAAAAGAACTAAAAAGCATATTAAAGAAATAATAAACCTTATGTAATTTACTCAACAAATAAGATTATAAAATTCAAAGAAAGAGAAATAAATCCAACTAATAAAGGTGTAAGGCAGTTAATATACTTAAACCATAATGGATAATAAAAATTAAAAATTAAAAAAAGAAAAAAAGAAAGAAGCCTAAAAGGCCCAAAAATTAAAACAGAAAACAAGCCCAACCCAACTACAACAATAGCCCTCCCCCCCACAAAAAAAACCAGCACACAATTTTCTGGCTGTCCGCAAGAATGGAGGCAATGAATTCCAACAGTTTCCACCCTTGGCCGCGTTCACCCCATATTTCATACCCGTACCCGTGTTGTATCGACACGGGTATGCCAGCCAAAAAGAAAGGTCTGAGCATCACAGGGCTTAGTAACTGATCATGACTCTTAGGTTGCTAGAATTAAAGATGAACGAAATATGTTGTAGAGAAAAAATAGATCTTCCAAACTCTTAGGGTGAATGAGAGACAAAATCATCATCCAAAGACAATAGTGGAAAGAACTTTATCCGTTTGTACTCTTCTTTACTAGAACGATGAAATTTAGCACTTGTCTGGTAAATAACAATGATGAGATGACTAGTTTAAATAATTTCACTTACCACCACTCACTCACTATCACAATCAGCTCTAAGAATAATGTTCAGTAACACATTATATGCATAAAACTTTGGAAATAAATTATACGTGGGCGCATGTTTATTATCTCATGAATCTTTTCTTTCACCAAAAAAATTGCAATTTATGCCCACACAAAACTCAATAGGAGAATTTCTAAACAAAACCAAGTTTAGTTGCAACATATTAACTGAAAATGCTAGTTAATTTTCAAACTAGCGTGACATGAGAATGTTTATCTTGATTGGAACATTGACCTAAGATAGAAAAAACAAGAGATCCTTCAACAGTGAATTACTCAAATAACTCCTGGATCTGGACTTGTATACTTGCAGTATCTGTATGTGCTCTTAATCACTCCCCCTGTAATCGTATGTTTATATCACTATTCACATAGCTCATGATGAGGATAACTATAAACTTCTCCAAAGTAGTCATTGCTCTTTTGACAGATGGTTGTATAATTATTTATCATTTGCTAATCACAAAAATATTAATAATAATAATAATAAATCATTGCACAAATATTTTAACTAAGAGAGAGAAAAAAAATAAACATTTTAAATGGAACAAGACCAAAAGTTACCACGAAAGTGACTGGGTGTTTATGAATGCTACAGCTTTTTCTACAGTAATAGAAGGATGGGAATCGAGTAAATCGTTGATAGCAAAAACCAAAAAGGAAACAACCTTATGGGCCAATAACAACAGTTTTAATTAGCATAATCAATTGTCAATCGTTGGAATAACTTTTTGCAATGATGACTAAATAAGCAGTTGAGCAATAACAACTAAAAAATTTAAAGCTATTCACAGCTCTGTTAGAAAAATTTTAGTTAAAAGGGACTAAAATTTCTAACCTCTTTAGCATGGACACTTCAACTAAAGTAGTGTGCCCGTGTCCGACATGTGTTTAGTTGAGCAATAACAGCTAAAAAATTTATAGCTATTTACAGCCTTTTTAGTTAAAAATGACTAAAATTTCTTACCTCTATAGCACAGACACTTCAATTAGTGTAGCATGTTCGTGCCGAATACATGTATACCGGCACTTCTCAGACACTTTGTCATTGTCATTCTTTTTCTTTTTCATAAATATTATATATTTTTAATTCAAAGTTATTATTAAATAATAAATAGATACTCATCTTTAAAAGATTTCGACAAAAAAATTAATAAAAAGTATAAAACTAAATTTATACTATATAAATGAAGAATTTTAAAGAATTTAATCGATATGTCGACAACATGTTATGTCAGTACTTTTTTGAAAAATGACATGTTGACGTGTCCGACATGTGTCGTATCGAACACGTGTCCGTATCGATACTTCATAGCTTCTGACAACGTAGTTAATTCTTTTGAGCATTCAATGATTTTGAATGTATCAACCTTACAATTTCTCTTCCCATTTCGGGTTTGTTTGAGCCCCATTTATTGGGAAAATAGATTTTGTAATAGTGATTTTTTTTGTGGTTAAAAGGTACGGAAAATTTTTTGGTTTACATGTAAAATTATTTTATTAAGAGACTGTGCGGTTGAAAATGAGTTTGGGAGAAAAAGAGTTTTTAAAGAATGAAGCCCAAACAGCGGCTTAATTACTCTTTCCCCTCTCTTCTACTTCATTACTCTTTTATTCCCTTCTCTCTCACCTTCTACATCACACTGTAAATCTACTCTACTTCCAACAAAATGTAGTCACAGCCAACAAAATAACACTGCTTCCCGACCGTTCTGAGAATTACCCCCAAAATACTAGTTAATTTTTAACTGTACGTAAGTTGGACTGAGCTTAGCCACTACTCATTCATCATCACAAATGGGAAATTGTAGAGCCTCAATTGGTTTTTAAGTGTTCCTAAATCAGAAATAACAGTTAATGCAAAGGAGATATGAACCACAAACCCAGCCAACAGAAAAGCTCACCAACATGGATACAGAGAAAGCAAATCAAATTAGGAATTTTGGTTCTTTATATTACATCATCGTAAACCTTATTCAATAGAGGATCTGCCCTAGTATACGTCTTTGAGTTCCAATATATTAACAGTAGAACTGATTTAGATCAATTCTTCATTGTTTTTACAACATATTTTTCTCAAAATTATGAATATTTCACTAAGGAAGCAAAGCAAAAAGACCACGATGGATAATATTGTTAGTTATAAGACTATGTAGCCTCAAATTAAGTGATCACTTTTATGTTTAGTTTAGGGGCCAACTCTTAACGCCACTGTAAAAATATTGAGTCCACAAGGTCCAGAATAACATAATGTTATCATTATTGTTGTCCTGATAAATGATATCCAGTAAATTAGTAACAAGTCGAGATTCCAACATTACAATTACAAATAACTATACAACACATGATTAACAGCAAAGTGCTTCAAAGCATAGCTACAAAACTACAACCAGCTCACCTAGTTAGGAAAAACAATAAATAATGGTCCCAAAAGATTTAATACATAATAATAATGCCTTCTATAAAATTATCATAGAACCATACTTGAGCACTATTCATCTAAGTAAAAGTAATTTGTCAAATATTATTCAACAAAACTGGGAATACATAGAGCCGTGTTAAGCATTGTAATTGGTAGGAAATAGAATCTATGATGAAGGTTCATCAACTGCTTCAACTATCAAAGATGCAATTAGTTTAGTGCATTCCACAATTCCAAGAAAGAGAAACTCAACCCATAAGGTCCAATTATTCATTTAAAAAGTATTAGAACAAAGAACAAAGCACAAATTATTCAACTAATATACAATCCATGAGAAACAAACAAGAGCACTCACATTTGTTCGGTTCCAAAGAAGTAGACAAACACTTTTTTCCAATCAGATGAGTGACCCCACTTATCTGGTTCGCTCACCTGTAATATCAAATGAGAGAAACAATAGTGAGTCAGACAACTGCATGGGGACATCGTATTATAAACATGTTGCAATAGCTAAATTTAGTGTGACCGTCCAGAAATATAGGAACATTTTGGTTGTTACTATAACTAGTAAATTACAATTTTGTTACATTACAATTATACCTTTATAAAAATTGTGCAAAACCATATCACACTTCCAAGAATATTAGTAACTATATGCGAACATTACCCCTAAGAATTAATACAGAAATGGTTGGCCAATTTGATATGAAAATCATGAAATAAAATCCTCTAATTTCTCCATCAGAATCAAACTGATAAACCCATGCAAGCAGGTAAGAAATTTGTTTTCTAGATTCAAATCCAGCAAGGAATGTTATCCCGAAGGATAACAAATCAGAAACTTACAGCAACACTTTCACATTTTAATGACAAACTTGAGCAACAGTACGTATATTTTTATACTTAAGTATCCATAAAATTATGGTATATACCATTGTAGTTAAAGCCCCCGTTTGGCCTCATTAATTTTCATTCCATTACATTCTATTTTCTCTCTCATATTTTCAACCACACAATCTTCCATAAAATAATATAACACATAAATCGAAAACTTTTCATTCTTTTTCACCCACTCATTTTTCAAAACAACACTATTCCATCCATTTTCACTTCTACAAAATGGGAGCCAAACAGGGGCAAATTGTATACCAAAATTACGTGGACATGAATTCATACACAAACTACATGGGACACCCAAATATCGTTTTGTCAAATTTTCTTTTAAGGGAATTATATTATTTCTTACATTTTCAACACCAAAGAACATGCTCCTACTCATAAGAACTTTGAAAGAGTGAAATGTAAAGTTTCCAAGACAGATCCGCAGTTAACAAGAAACCTTATAATTGATTTCAACACCCAAGAACAGTAAAAGTCCAAGAAAAGTAGCATGATTTACTAAATTCTAATTCAGAATAAGCAGAGGCAAAAAAACCAAAAACAAAACTTGGTATAAAAATAAAGGAATACCATAGCTGGCCACGCTGGAAACCCTTTCACCTTAGCAAGCACAAGATCACCGACCTTCCACTGTCGGCGATTAGCAGCAGCAGCAGCCTTGCTGGAACCTTTTCTTCGGCTCGGCGCCATAAAATTCCACCAAGACTCACCACTGCCCGTCAAATTAAAGTCATGCACTTTACAGAAACAAAAATTTCACGGTACAATTCCACGGGTTTTGCGGCACCGAAATTGAACGCTTCTTTCAGAGAAAGCGCGACTACACTTTCTACGTTTCCCAAAAAACAATTGCACATAAAAGCACCGAGGCATTGAAAGATCAAATCAAAATGCGAAAACCCTTACCATATCACATATTTCAAGAGTATGTAGAACAACAGAGAGTGGACAGAAAACCCTAACCGTAATGGAGCGTAAGTGCGGAGATGGGTGTTCTGTGGAGAAAAGCTGTGCAGAAATAAGAAAAATCGTAAATAAGTGAAATTGGTTTTTCAAGAGGAGAGAGAGCTAACTTGCGCCAAGTATGCGTAGGTTTATTATACGTACATACAGATACAGAAGCACGAGAACAACCCTGCCCCACTCCTGTTTAGATTTTTGCCAATACGTAGAGAGGAGGCCAGGAGGGGTTCTAATATTCATGTAGAGGTGGATCCCATATAAGTAAAATGTCATCAAAATAATATCTACCCACACACACCCATCCTCCCAATATGTGTGATCTGGACGAATTTTGTGAATCTCTAATGGATAGTAGTAATATGGCCCATTATTATTTGAACAAGGAATTCTACGAAATTGGCGAACAGCAGATTTCCCTTCTACATTGTAATTCTTGTCTCATTGGGACATGATTTATGCAAAGTTTGGCCTCCCCTAATCATTTATATGATTTTTTACACCTAAATTTTGTCTAGACGCCGTTTATAATCTAGTAAAAGTTTGAATTTAACATTGCCTCCTAACAAGCTTTACATTTTTAAACACTGGATTTGACTTGCAAGTACCACCATTGGATTGCAAAAATTCCACCAAATGAATAAAAAATACTCAATTTCATAGAGCAATAGAAATGACAATGTACATTCTTTTCATAATCTTGTTGTGTGTCTGAGACTGATGGAAAAAGAAATTTTTAAATAAAGAATGATGATTTTGGTCCGTTTGATTGTAAAAATGAAATGAAATTAAATTGAAAATGAATTTCAGGAAATTAAATTGCTTATTTTTCTGAGAATTGTAAATTATTTTGTTTGATTGATATAATTTTTCACGTGAAAAATGTTGAAATAAAAGTGTTTTTTTGTTTTCGCTTGACTTTATTTTACATGAAAATTGTCAATTAAAAGGAAATTTTACTGATATTGGGAATGAAATTTGTTTCTATTGTCAAAAAAAAATCAAAAAACTCATCTATCTTTTAATGTTCGTTTGACTTTGTTTTATATGAAAATTTTTAATTAAAGAAAAATATTATTTTACAATAATTCTTAAAATTTGTTTTCATTGCCAAAAAAAAAAATAATAATAATAATAAATAAATCTCTACGATACCCAAAAACGAATTCTATTGGTGAGAATTCGAATTCAAGAAAAAGATAAAAAATGCTGACGTGACAGCCAAAGGTGGAAAACGAATTTCTTGAAAAATTTTGTCAATCAAACGGATCAAAAGTGAAAGTTAAAATTCATTTTTAATTTTCCCTAGAAAATAAAGGGCTCATAAACAGGCCCTAATTTTCAAACATCTAGCAAAGAATAACGCAAAAGGAATGATAATTCAGACAAGTCTGAAGTTCAAACGAGAAAATTTCATTTCAAAATCCTCTTTAATGTAATGGGGGCCAAACGGGGCTTAGTTAAAAGGGCGGAGAACTGAAGTAGACGAAAAATAAATTTCTTTAAAGTATCTGGTTACATGTTTCATATCCTTAAATATAAAAACCATGCAAAACAATAAAATTACAAACACAGGACTAAACCATTAATTTTACATCCAAGTCACAGGCAGCAGCAGTAGCTGGAAAGATATTGTCGACCGAACCTAAAGAAGGGATCTTTAAGCTATTCTATTTTATCGGCATCAAAGCAAAACAAGTAATAGCAACTCCTTATACTCTTTGCTTCACACGACGGCCATTGGTATCAGTTCCATCGAGGATACCTTCATTACCTTGCTTGCAAACAGCAATAGAATGTTCGTTGATCCTTGCAACATACTCTAACAATTCGGTCAGGACATGAGGACAGCTCTCTTTCAGGTATTCAAAACCATCTGTCTGCATAACAGCTGCATAAAAAAAGCTTCAATTTAGCCCTCGTTTGGCTCAATTTAATTTAATTTTTTCTCTCTTACTTTCAACCACACAATCTTCAATAAAATAATATTACACTCAAAATCGAAAACTTTTCAACCACACAATCTTCAAAAAAAACACTATTCCCCCCATTATAAATTCAAATAATGGGGGCCAAACGGGGGGTTAATAAGTAACCGAAAGTCCTTAGATTTTACTAGACTATCTTGTAAATTTTCTGCATGATCTACATTTCACTTCAAAAGTTTTTAGATTTAACTAGAACACGATGCAAGTTCTGTCCTCGGAACTTAATGGACAGGGAGAGGCGACATAATCAATATTTCTGGTCGAGGGGGAAAGAGTTGTATTATGTTTGGCTAAGTTTCAAAAGAAGTAAAAGTTGCTGAAACCAACATTTTGAGTGAATTGTCCAAATAGTCACTGAACTTTAAAAATCACCTAAATGGTCATTGAACTTTGCAAAAGGTTAAATCAAAATTTTTCCCATTTTTTAAGTACACATTCTCCATAAAATTACAATTCCAAAAATTTCCCCATTTTTTAACCACACGTTTTTTTTAAAAAATAAATAAATAAATAAAAAATATCATTCCAAAGCAGATTTCACTCAAAAAATGGGTCTCAAACAGGGGCTTAGTTGCAAACATGCTAGGTAACTTACTTTTTGGTTATAAGATAAAAACAGTTGCAAATTTTATGTTACTGTTAAAATAGGTAACTTAATTACAATTTTCACCAATGAAAAAGTTATTAAAACAAACTTATTCATACGTATAAGTAAACTTTTAAGGCTTAACAAAAGATGCTCTGGTTTGTTCAGTCAAGGGCAATCCCACTAAATTTGGAATTTATAGGATTCAGAAAATAAACTAAGCAAATTAATCCATCCTCTTCTCTTCCCCCACCCCCCTAACAAGTTTCCTCATTTTTTCACATCTTTTACCCTTAACTATCCTTTCACAAACCTGATTATGACCCCAAGTGAATACCATCACGAAAACTGTTTTTTAGAAGATTCCAGGTAATTGTGGAAGTCTAGGCAGTTCTATGCTATCAGCTCGAGAATAAGAATGAAGGCAAAAATTTACCTCTAAGATTTTCAGGCAGCGCAACAAATTTTAGACAGACAGATTTCAGCTGGAAACAGTGGTGCTGTTCAGCCAGTGCTAGTGTTGTTGCAACAGTATTTATAGCAACCTCCTCACAGAGAATATCTTCACAGAGCAACCTGAGCCTATCTAAACCATATCGATCAGCAGCTGCAAGCAGATGCTGGGACATCAAAGTTGAAGCCCATGTCGAGTTCCAACCAGTAAGCTCTACCATGTCGGGCAGTGAATCCCAGTATATAAAATGAAGTAGAGCCTGCAAGGCACTTGAAACAGGTTAGAAAAGCAACAAGTTGCAGAGCCAATGACTGACAAAAATCCAAGGATAGTTGCAACAAAATTTAAACAGTATCATAGGACCAGCCAATCTGGGATCATTTTCCCTCAAGTAAAACTTAATAAACAAAATATACAACATATTCATTGCTTAAATACACATCCACACAAAGAATATAATATAGAGTGAAGAGCAGAAAGTCAGATGTGAGCAAAATAATACATAACCTTTACCAATTTTGGTCTATTTTCAAATGCATAATATCATCAATTTCACATTTTTTTCATATTCAGAATGGCAAAAATACCACAACAAATAAGCATTTGACATAAATGCCATTCTGCATGTTAGAATTAAGGGTGGACAATGCTACCCTGATCAAATGAACTCGTATTGCCTGTTCAGTCCAGATCCACAGAAACAAAAATTCGATTTCCACGAACTCAGAACAACAGTTGGATCTGGTTTCAAATAACAGTGAACCTGAAACCAGACTGGTTTGCCTGTTTTATTAATTCAGCTAAATATATTCAAATCTTTAAAGTTTACATCTTGGATTAACAAATTTAAGTAGATTCATCGCAAGTAGGCATCATGATCAATGATCAGGATACAAAACAAAACCTGCACAATGAGCACAATGTTATTACTTTGAACATATATTTTTTGGTTTCTTTGCACAGACAAGAATTATCGGCTCCGACTACCCTCAAATATGAATCAATTTTTTCATGAAACAGACTAAACAAACGTTACAATTGCAGAAAATGTCAGTTCCACTAACACAAACCAATAACCAGTAGTTAAAAAAATTAAAAGAAATCAGAAAAGTAAAACATTAAATATGGTCATGAAAATAAAAAAGTATACAGGTAGAAGTCGCCCAGGACCTTAAAAACCGGTGCCTCGATGTCTTCTATCTTTACACACTGTGTGTTTTGATCCTTCATTGGACCGTACAATTGAGCCCTAAATACTGGTGAACGAGCTGCAAGTACCAACTTATGAGCAGAATAAGTTTCTCCATTAACTTCAAAATTCACGTCAGTTCCTTCTCCACTTTCCAGCAGCTGCCCAAATTGCTGACCAATGTCCGATGGGGGTACTGGTATGGAGTATATTTTAGGTCCCTCCGTGTGAGACCTAACAACACCAACGCAGCACTGAACTTTAAGGCAATCATCTTTCAGGTAGTTCGACAATTCCAGAGCATTTCTTTTATAAAACCGCTTATACCCCCTACAGCATCCATGTTATGATAGAGTCAGACAAATTCTAATGTTACGATATTTAACGACAGATGCTTTTTGTGTCAAACAGTCACATAAATTTCTAACAATGAAGCCCTAATAACTCCAGGAAAACAGTACGAAAATTAACTGAATTAGAGAGAAAATAAAATACTAAGCCATATATTTAAAGTAAAATTATGTACATTATTTCCTTTTCAATCTATTAATATCCTAAATCACAACTATAAAATATAAAGCAAACAATTAACTGCATTTACTATTTAAATTTAAAATGGATAAGATACGAGCAACAACAAGGAAGTGGCTATGGTTGAGGATAATTAAACGAAGTGTTATAGTTTGGGCGGTTGTGATATATTCTGTATAAACCAAAAGAGCTCATAATCATAAGAGTGAAGCAATCTCAGTAAAACAAGTCAAAAGACAACATAACACATTGTAGTTGTTAAATGTTTAATTGCTGCCTATATATCTATCAACTAACCAACCAGTCACTTTAAAAAAAAAAATAAAGAAAAAAAAGGTAATCAACTCCAAATTCACTGGATAAGGTTAAGTTAATTTTTGTTACGTATTCAACGCCATCTTCAGTACGGAGACGTGTTAAAAAGTCTCCTCAAAAGTGTCTTTTTTATTATTTTGATATTGGCACCACAATAACTATCAGGTATGACAGGTATTGCTTTCCATGGACACACTAGATCACTACTAATTATTTTGCCTGTAACTAAAGGACATTCACAAAGCTGAACAACTTGAACTTTTGAAGTGTAATCTGCATAGCTAGTAGATGCTCTTCAGCAACACTCTTTCAGAAAAGGTAGGTGGTTGATAACAGCATAACTATCAATATCAACTACGTAGGCTCCATCACTTTTCATTTAGGGTCCGCTTGATTGCAAAGGTGGAATTTGGGTGGAAAAAAAATGAATTCCAGGGAATTGAATTGCCTAGAAATGATTTTCCTTGAAATTGTCAATTGATAGTATTTGATTGATATAATTTTCCACGTGAAAAATGTTGAAATAAAAAGTGTTTTTTAGTATTTGTTTGACTTTGTTTTACATGAAAATTGTCAATTTAAGGGATATCCACTTCTACCATTGTTCCTAGAATTTGTTTTCATTGCCAACAAAAAAAAAAATGAAAAAAAAGATCAAAAAATCATCTATATTTTGGTGTTCGTTTGGTTTTGTTTTACATGAAAACTGTCAATTAAATGAAAATATTCTTTTACAATTAGAGATAAAATTTGTTTCTATTGTCAAAAAAAAAAAAAAAATTCCGCTATAACATGGAACTTGAATTCTCACCAATATGGTGAGATTCAAATTCCATTCTCAGTAAAACAAGTCAAAAGACAACATAACACATTGTAGTTGTTAAATGTTTAATTGCTGCCTATATATCTATCAACTAACCAACCAGTCACTTTAAAAAAAAAAATAAAGAAAAAAAAGGTAATCAACTCCAAATTCACTGGATAAGGTTAAGTTAATTTTTGTTACGTATTCAACGCCATCTTCAGTACGGAGACGTGTTAAAAAGTCTCCTCAAAAGTGTCTTTTTTATTATTTTGATATTGGCACCACAATAACTATCAGGTATGACAGGTATTGCTTTCCATGGACACACTAGATCACTACTAATTATTTTGCCTGTAACTAAAGGACATTCACAAAGCTGAACAACTTGAACTTTTGAAGTGTAATCTGCATAGCTAGTAGATGCTCTTCAGCAACACTCTTTCAGAAAAGGTAGGTGGTTGATAACAGCATAACTATCAATATCAACTACGTAGGCTCCATCACTTTTCATTTAGGGTCCGCTTGATTGCAAAGGTGGAATTTGGGTGGAAAAAAAATGAATTCCAGGGAATTGAATTGCCTAGAAATGATTTTCCTTGAAATTGTCAATTGATAGTATTTGATTGATATAATTTTCCACGTGAAAAATGTTGAAATAAAAAGTGTTTTTTAGTATTTGTTTGACTTTGTTTTACATGAAAATTGTCAATTTAAGGGATATCCACTTCTACCATTGTTCCTAGAATTTGTTTTCATTGCCAACAAAAAAAAAAAATGAAAAAAAAGATCAAAAAATCATCTATATTTTGGTGTTCGTTTGGTTTTGTTTTACATGAAAACTGTCAATTAAATGAAAATATTCTTTTACAATTAGAGATAAAATTTGTTTCTATTGTCAAAAAAAAAAAAAAAATTCCGCTATAACATGGAACTTGAATTCTCACCAATATGGTGAGATTCAAATTCCATAAAATGGTGGAAAATGTCTACGTGGCCAAGGTCCATGGAAATGATTTTCCATGGAAAATTTATCTTGTCAAACACCACAAATGTTGGAAAATGGAATTGATTTTCCATTTTCCATGGAAATTCTTGGGCAATCAAACAGGCCCTTATTGTCTACAGCTTGTATTGCATATTTGTTAGTGTTTATGATCTTCAACATAATTTAAAATAAGGAAATCAGGAAGAGCGATGAGATCAAATTACGGAGCTGCAATAAATAAATAAACCGATCATCTTGTTTTCCTTCTCAAATATTTTGTTTCCAAATCAAACAGTAATAATGTAAAAGGATGCAGATGACTAAGCAATCGAACCAACCAATTGGACTATTTATACAAATACATCGGACCAAATTGAAAAACAATGACCTAAACTAAGAAAAATATTCAATGCAAGATACCAAGAACTAAATGAAAACTCACCACATGCTACCTTGGTATTTTAGGGTGTAAGGCCCGCTCTCTAACTCCCTTCCAAAATGGCTGTGCACCTTATGCCTCTCCTGTCCACTCTGATCCAAAAGGGTCAACTCAAAAAGCGCCCTCACATCCGTACCCTCACTCGCAAGCGCTATAAACAGCGAAACGTATGTTGCATTGTCCTCCACGCTCTTCCCATCAGGATAGAAATAGATCGCCCATGAATAACCGCCCACAGTAAACGTATCAGATGCTACGTACTTCCCAATACCGATACCCTTTGACAGAGAATAGCCACTGATCTTAAAATCATGCGAGCCATTCACCGTCTCTGTGAGCGACGTTGACGTCGTCACCAACGGCGACACCGGCATCACCGTTGAAGACGAGGGCTTGGCTGTCTCCGTATAAACCCTTCCCATTCTCACCATTACTGCACAGAATTATTATCCCTCAATCTTCAAATCAAAATTCAAGAATACGACACAATATTTAAAACGAAATGAAATAAAATTCCCAGAATAGTTTAAAAAATATATAAAATTAAAATGGAGGTCAAGAACTCAATTACAAGGTAAAATTGAGGAAAATATAAGGTTTTAGAAAAAACTGAAATCGATCAGAATTTGTTTTAGGGTTTTGAAGCTGAGAAACGGAGCCTGTTTAGAGAGGGAAAATTCCTGGAGAGAGAAAAAGTAAAAGACAACAAATAAATAAATGATATTAATGATTTTTTATTAATATATACAGGAGTGGAAGCAAAATTATTGCACTTGTTTGAGATCCATTATTTTTTTTAAAAATGTATTTTTCACATCATTTTAATCACATATTTTAAATAAAATAATATTATACGTAAATTTAAAATTTTATTTTATATTTTAATCACATATTTTTTATTAATACACTATTCAAAAATTTATTTTCTTTTCTAAAATGGGGCTCGAACAAGGGCATTAGCTACAGACGTGTAAGGTAATAGAATTTAGCCTCCGTTTGCTCCTATTAAATTTCATTTTATTATATTTTATTTATTCTTTTATATTTTTAATCACACAATGTTTCATAAAATCATATTAAACATAAATTTAAAAATAAATTAATTATTTATTTTTCAAAAAAATATTATTTCAATCATTTTCATTTTCACAAAATGAGGTGAAACGGGAGCTTGAACTCGTTTGTTTAAGCCACTAAATAAGGCAAAATGAACCATAAAAGGGTATTCTTATCATTTTAATCATGAGAAAAGTCAAAGTTGTAATGGTTGGGTAGATGAAGATAATTCAAATGTTTAAGTAAAATGTGGGACCCATGATAAAAATATGGCTGTCCCTGGCTCACGCGCTAAATTTTGGAACGTTACGCGTGTGAAGCAAAAAAGCTGGAATCCACAGTCGGGTTGGAATTACGATTTTAGCCCCTGTCATTCATTTGCAACTTTCGGGTTTCAACAATTATTTTTAGGGAAAATTGCAGCCAAGGTACCAAACATTTCGTTTATTAGCAGACTTTGCCTAAACCTTTAGTTTGTGCCACCGAAGATACCAAACCTTTCAAAAATATGCACCGGAGGTTCAAATGGACGGAAATCGTCCGTTTGATCGTTAGTTGACCAAAAAAAGTAAATTTTGACCTATTTTGACTAAATTGAAAAGGGTAAAATGATAACTTGATAATTACCATATTAAATAAATTGAAAAAAAATCAAAAAATCAAGAAAAAAATCAAAAAATAAAAAATCTAAGAAAAAAATTAAAAAAAGGTTGTCTTCTTCAATCACCCCACCCCACCCCACCCCCCATCTTTTTCCCAGCACCACCTCCTCCTCCAATTCTCAATTCTTTATTCAAAAATGGAACCAAAAGCCGCCGTTTCAAGAACATAAGCACCCCATCTCCACCTTCACCTCCAGCACCACCTCCTCCACCAGAGCCTCGACGGTACCACTCTGTCAACACCGACAAACCACCATAACCCAACAGAAGATACTGGATAAAGGACTCCGAAAGCTCATGAATATGGGTTTTTATGGTTACAGATTTAAATTTTGGATACCATTCCTGAATCTGATATCTATTTATTTCTTCTTCCTTCATTTTAAGAACAAATATTTGCCACTTCTCTGAAGCAAAAGAGAGACCTTCCTCAAGAAAATTGACCAGTTCCAAATGAAATAGTTAGCAAATGCTTAACTTTAAGAAGAGATGGTAATATAGATCGAATAGAAATTTATAAATACTAAATTATTTCAGATAGATATAGCAATAGAAATAAACTGAGCCGAGCAAAAAAAAATAAAGTCATAAAGCCAACTGCCAACCCCAAATTTATTAAGAACGAGACTTACTTGCTCGTAATTTTAAACCAGATGGGGAGTCACAAGAGTGGCGGTGGGGTGGGGTGGGGTGGGGGGGGGTGATTGAAGAAGACAACCTTTTTTTAATTTTTTTCTTAGATTTTTTATTTTTTGATTTTTTCTTTATTTTTTGATTTTTTTTCAATTTATTTAATATGGTAATTATCAAGTTACCATTTTACCATTTCCAATTTAGTCAAAATAGGTCAAAATTTACTTTTCTTGGTCAACTAACGGTCAAACGAACGGTTTCCGTCCATTTGAACCTCTGGTGCATATTTTTGAAATGTTTGGTACCTCCGGTGGCACAAATGAAAGGTTTGGGCAAAGTCTGCTAATAAACGAAAGGTTTGATACCTCGACTGCAATTTTCCCTTATTTTTAAGGGACATGCAACGTGTACATCAAGATTTGAGTGATGCTATGAATATAAAGGAGATTAACAAAATATGAGTTGATAAGATCTATATCACTTATTTCAAAATCAGATTTTGAAATCAAAACAAATCAACTGCCTAAATATTGCCAACACCTATTTTGTCAACAAATTTTGTCAACCTACTTTGTACAAGTAGATTAATTATCAAGATTTACATAATACTTTATTATCACATAACATTTATTATTCATCAATTTAAAATATAATTAGCTTTTTCATCTAATTATTTCCCTCCATATCAATTCGATCACTGCTCCTAACAAATTTTCTATACAAACGATAAAAAATCCAATTTTTAATGTCCCACTTTGTACAGACCAAAAAAATTCAACCTTAGCTTTATCCGATTTTGAGCACTTGTAAAAAGAGACGTTGCCGATCAATAGAATTAGAATGAGTAGGCGAGGAGGATCGAATGGGACAAATATTCCCCATCTCGTTAGAGAATTGGAAAGAGAATACGAAGAAAGAGAATGTAAATAGATTTTGAATGCACGAATTACCCAAACTTTCCTAAAATACAACAAAAATGTCACTCAGGCCAAGTATTCAGAACGTAACAATTTCGAACACCAAAAAATGCAAAAAGATTACAAATACATGAATTACACATAATAATTCAACAACAAAACTGTTACACTGAATTTACAGCAAACGATTTCCAACACAACAATTTGGAACAAGAAAAACAAACGGATTTCAAATGTATGAATTATGTATTTCTTCTATAATATATATAAACTAAAATGTCAACTCGAATTTACAACCAACTTATGACTTTAGCAACAACATTAGCACTAACCATTCTACCTCGAGAGCAAATCTTTGTGATGCAAGATAGAGAAGAAGGCAGCAAGAAAGGGTGAAGAAACCAGAGAGATTGGAGGGAGAAATTCGGAGAAGAAACAAAAATTCAAGGGGAAATGAGAGGAACGAGATAACATTGGCTGCAAGCCAAAACTAATTTCAATTTTTCATAATCATCAACTGTTTTTCCATGTTCAATGCAAGTCATATTAATAGGGAAATCAACAAACCTAGAAAGTAAATAGGTTTGGATTAACCCAATATTACAAGTCCAATAACAAAACATAAAAATAAAGGATGATGTTTGCATCAATTTTTTCGGGTGGAAAATAACTCGACTATGTGGAGTGAACAAAACACAAAAGGCTGCAGTCGACCTCATACCAAAAAAGGTTCCATATCATATTTCCATTCAGTGCTAAGTGTATGAACTCATACCACGAGGAACGATCTTTTTGAAGAATTAAATATCAAAATTCAACGGTTAATAACAGTGAAAGCTTCAGATTATCCTCAAGGGTATGATTCACCCAAGGAGGACAATCTCTTTTTTTTAATCAAAAATCGATACTGATCTCCAAATAGTAAACGCTCAAGCAACTCATTTCCAAAATCTTCATACGATTGTGCACAATGAGGAGATAGGAAGTTAGAACCGAAGAACTAGCCCGCAAAGACAAAAGATTGCAAATCGAAGGCTCAAACAGGCCCCGATTAGGAAACAATATTTCTACATTGAAAATATTACATCTATTTACGTGAGATGACAAATCAAATAGAAAATCTTTATATGAGTGATTAACAAGCATTTTCTTCACATTTTTGGAAAATCGGAGAATAGAGACATGCAATCAAGTAGTCTTTCCACTACTCTAAATGCAGTAGGAGAAGTCTTCTTATGTTTATTTTGAATACAATCCAAAAGAAGGATAATCAGGTCTAGTGGGATATTGTCAATTTCTTCCAATGTAAGGGCCATAAGAGTCTATATGGACATGAAGACATTCTCTAAATGGGTTCCTTTTAAAGCTCAAAGAAAGTGTCGAAATATGTCAACTATCATTTACGAACAATCTAGGTCCAACATGATAAGAAAGTACTTCACCTTAGCCATAGTATCTAGTATCCTAACTAATGTAGCATACAAATTGATGGATATGCCCATAAGAGATGAAAATGATGATATAATCATGGAAAAGATATCTTGCATTAATTCATCACATAAGAGAGGATTGGGTACTGTAATGTGGAATATTTCGCTGAGACAAGAAACAACTGCTATTTGCATTGCGGAATCAAAATGTCTTAATAACTTATTTGAGACCAATGTCGTGCTAAGTGTATTAATAGACCTGGGCATGGAAACAACAAGAAATTGGTCTACTTGCAAAAGTAAATACACAGTATGTTTAAGCAACAATATGAGCTCATTAAAAGGCAACAAAGATTGAATAAGTTTTCTTCCATTTGTTAACAAGTGGACTCCTAAAGCTTGGTATTCATGCCATAGCATTTTTTTGTTTCAAAATTGACAAGCCAAAATACTAAAATAAAAGTACATGTTTAAAATAATAAAATTGTTACCTCGAAGATTCAAAAAAGTCAAACACTGCTCCAATCACAATTTTCAAATTGGCACAGCTATGGTAGCAAAGCTGTCAATCAACATAAATAAAAGATCACCTATGAATAATGATAGAAATTTTCCCCCTCCCTCTTTTTTTTTTTCTTCACTTTTCTCTTTCTTTTTTCTTTCTCCTTTTATTTCTTCTCTTTCTTTTTTTAAATAAAAAAATCACTTAAATTATTACATGAATAACAACACCGGGGCACAAACTGAAGCCCAAGCACAAGCTAGGGCAGAGACCAAAAAAGGAACAAAGTTGGGGCACAAATTGAGATGAGGTGTTAGAGGGTGCGGTGGTATGAAGAAGCTGCCAGCGATTGAGAGCTTGGAAATTGGAGTTTGCGAGTTTAAAGTCATGATTTACAGTGATAATTGTAGAAGAGAATGGGTAAGATGTCGATGGTGGTCGTTTGAGCAACTAGATATGGGTCGTCGATGTGGAAAAGGTGTTAGCGAATATCGAGATAAAAGCTTATGGTGGGCAGTTACAGGGAGTGAAGATAGCAACGAAGGTAGGATAATTTGGTGAAAACTCACGGGGCAATTATTCTGGTGAGCCGACACTATGATGAGTGATCGACGGTCAAGGTTGTGGCGAGCGTTGGTTTGCTGTCAGAGCGATGAGTTATGTGTTTTTTGGTAGCAAATTTTGAGGAATATGTAATGAAGTTGGGCCAATTGTGTGGGATGTTGGCAAGTTGAAGGTTACCCACAGTAACAGAAGCAAGTTGTGGAGTAGAGTGTCGCGAGATTAGGATGGACGGGATAATTCTGTAAATTAGGCCAAGTAATGGGCTAGCTTGTCTGGTTAAGTGATAATGTGTAGTGGCTTTTTTTGTTGGATTTGTTGGCTGTGCACAGTTGAAGTTGGAAGAGGAACAACTAGTGGTGGTTGTTGGTAGTTAAAAGGAACGGTCAATGCTAGGTACAAGTTTTGGGTTTGGCATTGTTAAATGTTCCGGGATGCAGATGGATTGGTTAGTGGCAGATTGGTGGTGATTTTATTTGTTTGTAATGGTGAAGATGCTAGGAAGTTGCAAGGCGGGTAAGTGTGATGGCAAGAGTTGCAGCAGCGGTTAGGAGGTTGGGCGTATTTCCTGATCATGGTTGTTGCGCTGGTGGTGGGAGAGTAAATCGACTGTTTTTGCAGCGGTAGGTGAAGAAAGACAAATTTGGCTATGATACCAAATTTGATGCAAGATAGAAAAGAAAGCAACAAGAAAGAGGGAAGAAACCGAAGAGAATAGGAGAAAAACTGGAAAAGAAGCAGAAATTCGGGGAGGGGGGGAATGGGAAGGAAATGAAGGAGATAATGTTGGCTGCAAGCCAAAACCAATTTCAATTCATCATAATCACCAACTATTTTTTTATGTTCAATACAAGCCATATAAATAGGGAAATCAACAAACTTAGAAAGTAAATGGGCTTGGCCTAATCTAATATTACAAGTCCAATAACAAAACCTAAAAATAAAGGATGATGTCCCCATCACTTTGTCCTGTCAAATAGAAGTGATGATTTAAGCTCCATCTATGGTGTATCTAACGCGGGTAGAAATATATGACTTGCAAGAAGGCAAGTATGATGCTATGATCTTCGAAGGCTGAAAAATTCCAAGCATTGTATGCATATTATTGTGTACATGTTTCTAGTTTTGCTAAGGACGGCAAGTGTTTCGATATTAGGACAAAGTACAGGTCGACTTCTGTAGGGATGGAGCCAAACATTCAGCATTGTAGGGTCAAAATTTGAAATACAATTTTTTTTTTAAACAACATATCATTAATCACTACTACAACTGTAGTCCACGTGTTTTCATACTCTAAAAACGTCGTATAATTACATCATTATTAATATTAGTGAATACATCATTCTCAATATATGGAACTAAACTGTCATTTAGCCATTGATCTCACATCCGATTACGTCCATTGATCTCACATCCGATTACGTAGTTGATTCTTGACAATCTTCATTGCAGAAAATACTCTCTCTACCGTAGCAGTACCAACTGGAAGAATTAACGCCAATGTTAGAAGCTTGTAAATCAATGGATATACCTCCTTTTTTTTTGTCAATACCAACTTTTTCGCAAGATCATTAATGCTCCGTAACCCTTCAAATTTTTTGTGAGTGTGCTATCAATAATATATATCTGAAGTTGCTCTTCAAGTGTCAAGATCTCTACTGGTTTAAAATCATTGGGATAATACTCACACAATTGAAATAACTTGTCCTTGTCGAAAGTAAAAAATGAATTTTCCGGAATAAGCATGCAATACAAAAGAGTACGTCGCTATTTGTCTCAGAGAAACGATCATTCAACTCTTGAATTTGCAGATCAATGATAGCATAGAAGAAATCCAAATGAAAATGATGTAGATTTGTTATTCCTTGAGCGTTATGCCATGAGAGATCTAGAGGTATAAACATATCATCCATGCTGTCACTTCTGGTAAACACCATTATGAGATTAACACGTGCCAAAGAAAATGCTTGTCATAATACACTTAGATTGGAATTAATTTCACAAAAAGCCCTTTACTAAATACACAGACGAAATCAAATAAATAAAGATTAAAAAGCATGAGAAACGTGGCTCAATAGAAAACATGGAAAAAAGGTAGGAGGACAATGAAGACATTAGAATAGTGTATCTATCTCATTCAAAGTAATTTGGATGATATATCTTTGAGTTATTGAGAAATTATAAAAAACACATTAAGGAAACATTTTTAGCAAAAAATGGATGTCATATTATCGAAACGATTATTCCAAAAATGACGAATGACAGGAATGGAAATCTGTGCTAGCTAAATTTCTAAATCGAATACCCTAACCATTCTTAGTTGGATATCTACATGTTTTACATTCCATTAAAGAAGATTAACATTGTCACCAGCCTACCAAAGAATAAAATTTGTAACAAGTGGAGCATGAAAATTTTGGTTAAAATGAAAAATAAACCAAAGAATTGCTTACCTGCCCAAAATCCAAACTCTTCTCGAAACATCTCAACACCATTTAATTTTTGGGGGTTCTCAAAAGAAAAAAAATTAGTCAGTAGAAATACAAAAAAATCTGGCATGAGTGGGATTAAAAATTGAAGCATTCAATCTTATGGAAATTAGATAGCCTGATAGGTAACGGCCTCAAGGCCTCGAAATATATATAGCTGTAATTCTTAGTTATAAAATAACAATTAATTAAATTCTGAAGGGGAGCTGAACTAAAATTCAATTCCGTTCCATTTATTTCCTTCAGTAGAATGATTAACATTTAAAAGGAACCAAATTCCAAAAGTAGGAATTAAACCTACAAGAAATCATTCAATCATCTCTATCAAAATGTTCATTTTCTCGTTCAAAGCAAACATTGAGAGGTACTGTTCACGAACCAGAACCGACAGTGCTAGACTACTATCAACTTCATAGGAGGGTTATATTTCCTTGTCCACTCCTTGTAGGTGCAAATGAATAAACAATAATGCTTGAGGTTGATATTAGCTCCGCTTTTCTAGGTATTAATTTTTTTTATTTTTCTCCTGTTTCAAAGATAAAATGCTTCTCACTTCCTTCCCTGACTAGGCTTAAATGAAATTAAGGGCTTGTTTGAGCCACATTATTTTCAAAAAAATATATTTTTCAATAGTAATTTGATATCATTTCAACCACACATTTTTCAATAAAATAATATTACACGCAAATATAAAACTTTTTCTTATTTTTTAACCACACATTTCTCATTAATTTGACATGAATAATGTATTTTTCCTAGAATGTGGCTCAAACATGAGCTAAAAGTGGAAAGTATCAGTGGATTCGAGTAGTGTAAACTTAAACCTAAAACATTTTAGTAGGCCTATAATAACCGTTTAAACTATTGTATACTAGAAAGCTAATAGAATAGATCAACGGCTATCCACCCATTAACAACATTAATTCTAATTTTCTACAAATTAACTATGATCAAGAAATTATTCAGCAGAAATGAACTTCTAGAATAGGATAGCGTTCATTTACATCAACCCCAAAATTTCCAACTCTTCCTCAAGTTTGACAGTATCCTGTTAACCCAAGACAAGTGACATAGTTCCTACAATTACTTCTTCTTCATCAGGTTGGCTGTGTTAACCATGGTACTACATGAAGAGATGGAGTTGACCACACAGTATCCTCACTCTTCAGCAATTAAGGAAATGCTACAATATCTCACTCCTTAGGAATTGAGGAAAATGTTAATCTTTCAACAATCAAAATAAAAACCAAATGCAATTTGGCTCTAGATAGGTGTCATGGCATGAAGACAACAACAAACTAGATATAATTGAGACTCTTCAAAAAAGAAAAAACACAAGATTAATCAATTATGCTCGTTATTCCTAACTATTTCATAAACAACAATATTCTCTTAAAAATGTAAAAAATTCTATAAAACTATTCATTAGGTGTAGGTGAAATGGAAATTCAATGCTCTACATGGAGCTTAATGAGACGTTTTATTAATATCATTGGCAGTAAAAAAAATGGAAGTCATCAGAACTTCGGGCAGAACTTTTTTAATCTTAGTAAAATAAAATAATAACAATACGCAGTAAATGGATTTAGAGATAACACTGTAAGTCTCGTATATCCTGTTCAAAAGATATCTAGGACAGTATCATTCTAAATGCATTATAAAAACTGGACGTTATACTAAGAGCCTTGCCTATTTCGGCACTTATATATCACAATTCCTCAATGCCAACCTTCCCTTGGTAGAAATCATAGAGTTTAGGCACTTGCTTCTCTTATTAGGTCACAAACTTTTCCAAGAAATATTTATTGGTGGGCAACAACACAATGCTCACATCCTTCTTTTTAATCAATTCCATCAAGAACAAAAAATGAACGGTGAAGCACCTAGGAATTATCCGATTCTCCAAATTCAATAAGAGAATTGTCAAGCACGATGCAATCATTTGGACTTCCACCCCATCTTGTTAACAAAAAAGTTCATTGTTTTAGAGATCTTCGTCTCAGACATGATCATGCAATTCCGATGTTTCCTAAATGCCATGTAAATGTCATCCTTCAACTAACTCAATTTTCTGTAAGCCTCATAACACTGACCCTATATCATTTTATTGCTTTTTCCAGATGTTGCACGTGTCGCCAATACAAAAGCCATTCCCAAAAGATTGAACCCCATTTTCACTGTAAGGTCCCGAATTTTATGTTCTTAAATTGGTTGATGTATTCCATTTAAGAAACGAGTTATGGAAGCTCGGCCCATTTAAAGTTATGAAAGACCAAGTCATAAGTTAATTAAAAGCTCGACAATTTAAAAGATTATATTTAAGTAAATTTGATTACAAAGATCTAATGAATAATTATGTTGCCACAATAGTCATCTGTATAGTATTTCACATAAGTAATCTAGGTTTGAATCACCATGCAGATGTTTTATAAAATATTTTTACAAAATTATTTTTGAGTTAAAAACTCTTCATTTTGTACATTAAAAATAATTATAACAAGTTCATTAGATGAAATAATTGTTTTATTAGTGGGCACTCATAAAGATACATTACAAAACATGTAAATAGTTTATTATCCTTTTATTTTTCATTACGTAAATATTTTATAAAAAAATTTATATGAATTATATTTTTTATGGGTTTAAAAATCTTTAAATTCTTAGATAGAGATTCAATTTAACAAGATTAATGATAATATAACTCCCCCATTTAGTTTTTCACTAAAAATGCAGGTTACAAAAAGAGAAAAATCACTTTTTTTTTTCACTATATCTCTCATCAAATCCGAATTTACTCTTATTTTCTCTAAAAAATATCTTCTATTTCAATTTAACTTTAAGGGAACAGTAGGTTTTTTTTTTTTTACACATTTTGTGTATTTATATTCAAGAAAAATCAAGGTAGGTACAGGTGCAAGTAGTTATTTCGTTTTTAAGTTATGATTTTTCGTTAAAAGTATGAATGAATTGGTACCTTCGGATATGGTTCTATGGCACCATTATACTTAAAATGATCATTCTCCGGCCTAAGGTAATTCTATAGAAATTGAATTTTGTGAAATAAAGTCAAGGTTAGAGAGAGATGCTCTCAACTCTAGTGAGAGAAAGTCCCACTTTGAGTGCCTTGACATCGATTGGTTTTCTCTTTTCTCTTGTGATTTCTTCATGTTTTTAGTTTGATTTTTATCTTCTTTGGTGAAAATCGAATTAGTGCATATTGAATCTGCTTATGGAATACTCTATGTGAGTATTGGTTTTCTATTTGCTGCCATTTTCGTCCTCTTCAAAGTTCAAAGTTCAAGTCTGGTTTTCGGCCAGCTCACTCCCCCATTGCTGCTGCTCTGCTTGTGTTTTTGAGCTGTGTGTCTCTTGCTTGCTGGACGTCCTCCATCTCCAGTTTGGTTCCTTGCTCAGTTCTGGACTTTTCTTGCTGGGTTCAGCCTTGCTTTCGTGCTGCTGGGTTTTCTGTTTGTTTGGGTTTCTTGCTATCCAGTTCCTGCTTCTTCATTTCCATGGTGTTCTTGGTTGGCTTGTAAGTATTGTGTATGCATACATGCATGTCATTTTGATTTGATTTTGTATTTGGGTCAGTCATTCCTGTTATCCCCCTGTTATGCAGCCTCTACAGTCTGTTTTTTGCCAATTTTGTATATCAAATTCAGAAAGTTGGTGAGAGTCCCGTTTGACAATTGTTTGGGCCGGTTTCACTTGCATTCTGGCCGGGTTTTGGGCTGGACCTTGGAGGATTGGCCTGCTATTTTATTGTGGTTGTTGGGTTACCTTTTGGGCCTTTCCTTGGGCTGGAACGTGTGCTTTCGCTATTGGACATTCTGGACTTAACTTGGCCTTTTGGACCTTATTCTCTGGGCAGATTTCTTGGGCTTCTGGTTGGCAGAATTGTGGTGATTTCCTTGGGCCAGTTTCTGGGCCTTGCTGGTCATCTTTTTAAGAAGTTTTCTTTGGGCCTGATTTGGTCTTCAGTTCTGGACCTCTCTTGCCGGTGGACTGCCCTTTTAATCCTTTTTGACTTCTAATTCAGGATTAATTGGTGCCAAGTATTTGGGCTAGGCTTGCTGTTTTACTTTGGATCATTCACTATCTATTTTTGACGTCAACTTCTCTTGTCGAGTGAGTCATTTTCTACCGATTTTTTGGGTTTCATTTTGTCATCATCAATTTTATTTGGCTTGGTGAATTTCTTCTGCCCGGCTATCCTTCTGGATTCTTGCCTTATTTTCTGCTGGTTTTCTGGATTTCTTTCTCTGGGACTGTTTCTGCCTCTACCTATTTGACGTCAACTTTTTATTGCTGGGTGGTTTTTATTTCTCCCTGTGATCATTTTTGGGCAGCTTGTTGTGGTTTTTAATTCCTCTTTGAATCATGGGTAAGAGCAAGGCAAAAAGTGGTCGCCCCCCTCATTATTAAACCTGGTCGACTGCCACTTGTTG